CACTCCAGTACCTAGTGTCATATATCTGCCCAGACCCTGTACGTAGTGTCATATATCCACAGTTTCCCGGGTTACCCCACTTCCCATATCATGCACCTGGGATCACACGCTCACAGTCTGCAGGGTGACACTGATCCCATTCATGTACCTTGTGTCACAAGTCCACAGCCACCAGGATGGCCCCACCCTCAAAATCCCATACCTGGGGTCACATTCCTGTCTCCAGTGGGATCCCACCTCCCGGAAACTTTACCTGGGGATAATCGTCCACATTTTTCAGGATGGTCCCAACTCCCTGAAACTGTACCTGGAGTCATTCTTCCATAGACATTGAACCTGTTCCATGCCACTGGTCCACAGGGTTATACCCTCCAAGACCCTGTAATGTGGTTTACATGTCCACAGTCTCCTGTGCGTCATCACTTCCCAGAACCTTCACCTGCAGGCACAAACAGAGGTTCCAGGTTGACTCCCCCATAGACCCTGCACTTGGAGCCACATATCCACAGTCTCACAGGTGACTCATTCAAATCACTGTACCAGGGCTCACATAACCACAGTCTTCAGATGCTGGACTATTGACCCCAGCACCCAGCGTCACATGTCCACAGATTCTAGCATGACCCCACATTCCAGACACTGTACCTTGGGACACATACTCACAGTCTCTAGGGTGAACACCCTTCTAGACACTGTACATGGTGTCACATGGGCACATTCACCAACTCCCAAACCCTTTACCTAGGGTTACACGTAGATAGTCTCAGAGTGACCCCACTCGCCAGAACTTGCACCTGGGTTCATATGTCCACAGCGCCCAGGGTAACACCACCTGTCAAGCAATTGTACTGGGTTCAAACACCCACTGGTTCTAGGGTGACACCACTTCCAAGCCCGTGAACCTAGGGTCACACATCCATGGTCTCCTGGGTGGCAACGCCTCCCAGATCATGCACCAGGTCTCACACCTCCGCAGTCTCCAGGGTGACTACACATCACAGAATATTGTAATTCTGTTCACAGTGCCCCAGTCTCCAGGGTGACCCCGTATCTCTAACCCTGTACCTGGGGTTACATGTACATGGTGGCCAGGAAGACACGCCTCCCCAGACTCTGTACACGGGATCACATTGGCACAGTCACCAGGGTGACCCCAACTTCCTCACCCTGTACCTGGGGTCACATGTCCAGAGTCTCCTGGATTTACCCACATTCAAGGGCTAGTAAGTGGGATCACATGTCCACAGTCTCGAGGCTTTCCCCACCCACAAGTGCCTGTACCCGGGGTCACACGTCAACTGACTCCAGGGTGACTCCCTCCCAGACTGTTCACCTGGCATCCCATGTCCCCAGACTTTTGTGTGATGTCATTTCCCAGACTCTGCACATGTGCTAACAGATTCACAGGCTCCGTGGTGACCCCCTTCCTGGTCTCTGTAACTTGGGTCACATGTCCTCAGTATCCGGTGTGGCCCCACCTCTCATACCCTATACCTTTGGTGACTTGGCCAGATTCCAGGGTAACCCTCCCCTGCCAGACCCTGTGCTTATTTACACACATCCACAATCTCCAGGATGTTCGCCCTCCCATACCCTGCACCTAGAGTCACATGTCAACAGTTTCCAGCGTGAACCCCACTTCACACACTGCACCTGGGCTCACATATCCACATTCTGCAGGGTGACACCCCTTCCAGACCATTTCCCTGCCATTAAATGCCTGCAGTCCCCAGAGTGACCCCGTGCATCCCAGACACTGTACCTGAGGTCACATATACAGAGTTTCCTTGGTCACCCCCATCCCAGACCCTGTACCTGGGTTCAGATATCCTAGTGTCTTGGGGGACCCAGTTCAGACCTTGCATCTAGGGTCAAATGTCCAGTATCCAGGATGACTTGCCTCCCCAATCAGTGCATCTGGGGTCATATGTCCACAATCTTCAAAGTGATCCCATCCCCTAACCCTGCACCTTACTCACACATCCACAGTCTCCAGAGTGACCACATACCAGTACCTACACCTAAGGTCACATGTCCACTGTCTCACGGGTGACCTCTTCCCTGAACTTGTTCCAGATTTCACACGATCACCATTGCCACAGTGACCACCAACAGATCCTGAACCTGTGGTCACAGTTCAACTGTCTGCCTGATGAGACCCATTTTGTACCCTGAACCTTGTGAACCTGCACCTGGGATCACAAGTCCATATTCTCCATGGTGTCATCCCCCAGACCCTCTACCTAGTATCATATATACAGTCTCCTGGGCTTCCCCATTTCCCATACCATGCACCTGGGATCACACATCCACAGTATCCAGGGTGACACCCCTCCTAAACCTGTACCTGGTGTCACAAGTCGACAGACTCCAGGATAAGCCCACCGTTAAGATCCTGTACCTAGGGTCACAACTCCACTGTTTCCAGGGTGAGCCCCCCTCCCAGTCTCTGCACTTGGGGTCACATGTCGAGAGTCTCCAGGGTGAATCCACCTCCCAGAAACTGTACCTAGGGTGAAACATCCACAATCACTCAAGTTGGCCCCAACTCCCAGAACCTGTACCTGTGGTCCCACTTCCATAGTCTCAGGGTTACCACATGCCCAGACATTTAACATGGTGTCCCATGATCTTGGATGCCAGGGTTACCCCCTCCAAGACCCTGTAATGGGGTCACATGTTCACAGTCTCCAGAGTGTCGTCACTTCCCAGACCCTCCACCTGCAGTCACACAAACACAGGTTCCAAGGTGACTCCCTTGCAGGCCCTGCACCTGGAGTCACATATTCACAATCTCACCTTGGGGGATCCCATTCAGACCCTGGATCTAGGGTCACGTATCCAGTCTCCAAGATGATTTGCCTCCCAAACGGTGCATCTGGGGTCACATGACCACAATCTCCAAAGTGAACGCATCCCCTAACCCTGCACCTAGGTCACACGGCAAACAGTTTCCAGAGTGACCTCAACCCAGACCCTGAAACGAGGGTCACATGTCGACAGTCTTGGAGGGTGACCCCCTCCGTGAACTGATACTAGGTTTCATACGTCCACCATCTCCACAGTGATTACCACCAGATCCTGTACCTGTGGTCATAGATCCACAGTCTGCAGGGTGAAACCCTTTTCCTACCCTGAACTTTGGGTCACACGACCACAGTCTCCAGGGTGACCCCACCCAAACCTACACCTGGGGTCACATGTCCACACTTTCCATGGTGACATACTTGAGACCCTGTACCTACTGTCATATAGCCACAATCTCCTGGGCTACCGCACTTACCATACCATACACCTGTGATCACATGTCCACAGTTTCGAGGGTGGCCCCCTGTATAACCTGTACCTGGTGTCACAAGTCCACAGCCTCCAGGTGACCCCACCCTCACGATCCTGTACCTGGGGTCACAAGTCCACTTTTTCCATGGTGAGTCTACCTCCCAGACCCTGCATTTGGGGTCACATGTCCAGAGTCTCCAGGGTGACCCCACCACCCAGAAACCATACCTCGGGTGAAATGTCCACAATTTTCAGGATGGCACCAACTCCCAGAACCTGTACCTGGGGTCACACTTCCATACTCTCAGGGTATCCCCACCTCCCAGACATATAACCTTGCATCCCATGACCCTTGCCACAAGGGTTAACCCCTCCAAGACCCTGTAATAGTGGTCACATGTCCACAGCCTCCTGTTTGTCAAAACTTGTAGACCTCACCTGGAGTCACACAAACACAGGTTCCATGGTGACTCCCTCGCAGACCCTGCACCTGGAATCACATATTCACAGGCTCCAGGGTGACCCCCTCGGAAATCCTGTACCTGAGATCACATATCTACAGTCTCCAGGGTGAACCCCATCCCCACACACTGTCTGAGCAGAATCATCCAGTCTCCCATGAGACCCCAATGTCAAGAACTTATCCCTTGTGCTAGAAGTCTACATTCTCCAGGGTGACATTATCTCCCACACCCTGCACCTTAGGTAACATATCCACAGTCTCCAAGGTGACCTTACCTCCTAGACCCTTTACCTGGCGTCACATGTGCAAATTATCCAGGATTCCCGCCACTCCAACACCCTGCACCTGGGTCAAAAACCCACAGTCTCAAGGGTGACCCCCTATCCGACCATGTTCCTGGGGTACATGGCCAGAATCTCCAGGATGATCTTGAAAGGTATTGCTGAACCACGCAAAGGCACTGGAATTCTTGGCCTCCAGAGGAAAAGAATTCAATTTGGGGCCAGAGACGAGGCTTGATTGCTTAGAGCTTTTGTGTAATAAAGTTGTATTAAAGTATAAAGGAGATAGAGAAAGCTTCTGACATAGGCATCAGAAGGGGGCAGAAAGAGTAGCCCCTTGCAATTGTTAGCAATGGAATTACATGGCTCAGATGGTAAAGCATCTGTCTGCAATGCTGGAGACCCAGGTTAGATCCCTGGGTCAGGAAGATCTCCTGGAGAAGGAAATGGCCACCCACTCCAGTACATTTGCCTGGAAAATCCCATGGACAGAGGAGCCTGGTAGGCTACAGTCCATGGGGCCACAAAGAGTTGGACACGACTGAGCAACTTTACTTTACTTTTAATTAGTTATTCAGATCAGTTCAGTTCCGTTCAGTCACTGAGTTGTGTCTGACTCTTTGGGACCCCATGATTCACAGCACGCCAAGCCTCCCTGTCAGTCACCAACTCCCAGAGTTTACTCAAACTCATGTACATCGAGTCGGTGATGCCATCCAGCCATCTCATCCTCTGTCATCCCCTTTGCCTCCTGTCCCCAATCCCTCACAGCATCAGGGTCTTTTCCAATGAGTCAACTCTTCGCACCAGGTGGCCAAATTATTGGAGTTTCAGCTTCAGAATCAGTTTTTCCAATAAG